AAAATCAAGTGATTGACACATAATTTTAAGGGATTTTTGGATTTTTGATAAGTGTAACCCCCTTAATGAATATTCATAATATTCATGAATATGATGATTGTGATCACTATATGCATTGATCAAACAACAAACTTCTTTTTCTTTAAAGATGTCATGAATCAACAATAAAAGAAATAAAATGAATGAACTGGGAGCTGAACATTGTTTATCATAAGGATGGTGGTGGTTATCGCCCGCCACTCGTCGTTACTCTAGTTATTTATAAATTTTGGTTTTATTTATAAGTGAGACTCATCATTCCTCAACTGATCCTGTAAGTTTATACTCATTTCAAACATGAAAAGTAATTGCTTTGTTTAAGGCTAATATCAATTCAATTTCTAACAACAGTTTAATGAAATCAGAAATATGGTGATATCAAGATTGTTACAAATTAATGGAATCAAATACTATATTTCACTTCCTTTTGATTTAATAAATAATCTAGACAAATCTATTAAAGAAATTTCTAGTAAGCTTGATGACTTATAAAAAAATCAATGAAATATATTTACAGAAATATTATATTGATTATAAATTCTTAATAGATTTAGAAGTGAGGAATATACCAGGGTTGGCAAATTGACTGGTACATTGAGAACAGATGGTCCATTGCCATTAATAGAATACTAAATATGGTTAAAGTGTTACACTAATGGACCCAATGGACCACCAATAGACCATCAATGGACAGCACATTTGCCAACCCTGGAATATACACAATGATAATGAATTATATGCCAATATGAATGATAATATGAATGATGGTGATATTAATAATATAAATGGTAATGCCCATACATATAATTCTGAAACTAATTATAACCTTCATTCAAGAAAATGTGTTGATTATAAAGTCTTAATAGATTTAGAAGTGAAGAATATACATGATGTTAATGAATCATACACCAATATGAATGATAATATGAATGATGGTGATATTAATAATATAAATGGTAATGCTCATACATATAATTCTGAAACTAATTATAACTAAGGCTCTGAACTCAATGAAATTCGAACCAATTCAAATCAAATCAAATCACTTAATTTTTGATTCGTTTCATTCAAATCGAATTCGAATTGAATTGAATTGTACTTTGATTTGATTTGAACTGATTTGAATATATAATTTGATTCAAATGGATTCAAATTCGGATTGATTCAATTCGATTCAAACAGATTCAAATATATAATTTGATACAATTTGAAAAATCTTTATTTTAATGTATATTTTATAATTTTATTTACAAAAATATTTTTT